CTCAACATCAACTTGGATACCTCCATGTCATTTCTTAAGATGACTTTTTAGTCCAGAATATCCTCATTTCCTCTCTTACAATATCTTTTCCATCTTCTAACAACACCCTGTCACAGTTCCTCTGCGACCCAGGCCTTGCCTCCAAAAACTATTTAAATTACTTTCTTTCTTACAGCACTTTATCTTTCCCTTGTTTAACTAATGAATTCAGCTGGACTTTTGTGTTTCTCATGGCATTCTGTGGCCAGGTAATATGGACTCTAAACACTCTGCAGGTTTAGTTAGTGACTTGTCAAGTTACCAAGAGGTAATATGCTAGGCCACCTTCTGAAATGGCTCCCCACACCCCCCACTTCTTGATGAACACGCGAGCTACCTCCCCGTAACTACGCGTGCCCTTAAAGGTGGTCTGGATCTAGTGGTTTGCATCTGCTGAATAAAACATGGCAAAGTGATACAGGTGATGTCAGAAATGACATATTATCAATTTTTTTCCCCACAGGAGCAAGACTACACTTAAACTAGCAAACCCCATGTTGTCATCAACTCCTCCTTCTTCTGTGCCCTTCTGCAGATCTGGCTGAGAAGGCCACAGCCCAAGAATGGGTGCGGGCAATGCAGTCTTCAATGTTCTTTCCACTGCTAGGCTCATCGATGACCTTCTTGAGCCTTTCCTCATCCACCTCCATGTCCACACTGTGAAGGATCTTCTGGATGTCATGGACACTGAGAAGGCATGGCCCCAGGAATGTAATCAGCAGGTAGGGAGAGACATAGTGTAGTTGCACAATATCTTTCAATATATAGAAAAATTATCAAAAAGGATCCTATACAATAAAACCATTAGGAACTCTTATAGCTTGAGACTAAACTGGTACTAATATATATATACACACACATACACACACACACACACATATATATATATATACACACACACAATATTTCTCAAATACAGTAATGAGTAAATGAATGGAAACAATCCATTGTCATTCACATACTTACATAACAAAGAAAAGAATTCTCTCTAGTATCATCAGTTTATATATAATTATAAAAATATATTGTAGAGTTTTAATGTAGTTATTTTTAGTTATTTTCCCTAAAGATACTTGTTATAGCAACCTCCCCTACAAAAAAGAACAAATATTTACATGTTGAAAATTTATTTATTTTTATTTTATTAATTATGCCCCTAGATTTGTCCCAATTGTTTCCTCCTTTGTCCCCATCCACCCAGTATCTCCCTTCACTCTAGTAATCCCCTCCTTTAGTTCATATCCGTAGGTTATACATGTAAGGTACTTGGCTTCTCTATTTCCTATGCTATTCTTAACATCCCCGTGTCTATTCTGTACCCACCAATTACTATTCTTAATCCCTGCACCTTTTCCCCCATTCTCCTCTTTCTCCCTCCCAGCTGATAACTCTCCAAATGATTTCCATATCTGTGATTCTGTTCCTGTTCTGGTTGTTTCTGAGTGTTTGAATGAAGTGAATTTTTGGAGCTTCTGTCTCTTTAAAAAGTTTCAAGATTAATATCTTAAAAACAGCAAAGCAGTAATGCATAAAAATTATTAGAAGTCTAATAAAATTATTTGGACCTCCAACTAGAGCAACACTGATTAATGACTACTTTTTAACTAATTGGAAGTTGTTCAGTCACTGTCCCATTTCATTTCACCTGAGTGTTTAGAGGAATCTGGGCCAAACGTGCGATCTACAGCGAGGTACACTTTCACAACTGTGTTCTTCTTGGCAGGGCTACCGTGAGCTAGCCATTTCTCTGTCATTCAGTATGATGATAGTTTTCTGCTCAGCTGGCCATTTTAGTCAATGAAGGTAGCATTATGCATTGGAATATGAATAAAGTTTACTTTCAAACTTTGTGAGGTCAAGAAAAATAAAGCCCATGACAAGTTATTCTTATCACAGAATCTTTAATTACCAAGAGAACTGTGTTTAGCCTCGTTATTTTTGACAGAGATATATTGCATTTACCCCAGTAGACTTCCTAAGGGTACTAAAATACTGAAATAGGCTAGCAGTAGGGTAGATATTTCAGAAATATTAGCTTGCCATCACTCATATGTTGTATATACATGGATTATGTGTCAAAGTTACAATTCTGCACATGCCCCAGTAGAGCCAGCATAACTTATGAGACTCCATACACTAGAGTTTCCTAATTTTCACTTGAGTGACACTATAGTCAGTGGGGTAGTATGGCAAAGCCAGCATGTGCTCCAATTGTATTGATAATTTTTAAATAGCATTCCCTAAGTTTGGAAAATGTAAGTTGCTGAGGATCTATGACACTTGCTTCCACTGTTAAGAGTCCATAATCACCTTCCATTTTCCAAATGGTTGAAGATCAAGACATGGATAGTTGGTGCCAGACCTGCTACTGCAAGTGTTTTCATAGCGTGATGATGCTTTGGGTGGTCTGAGGAAACATGGGCTGAGGGAAAGGCCATTCAGAGCCACAATGCAGGTAGTCCATGAACTGTCTGCAGAGTCTCAACTTAAGGTGCAGAGCCTAATCCTCCTACTTCAGAAAACATACACAAGTGTTGTGTGTGCACTTATAAGGAGGTTCAGTTTACATCAGACAGTACTCTAATTGGTAATCTATGGGCAATGTCTATTTAAAGAATAGAAGTTATTTGAGGAGACTGCCTCTGCTCACTTGTCACTCACTATGTCTAAGCCATTAGACTGAAGTGACACTGCTCACAGAGGTCCTATGCTCAATAGCTCGGAAAGCTCATTTTCCCTACATTACCAAACACTGCAGGAAACTGAAGCTAATTTTCTGCAGGCAACCTGGTTCGACTTTCCCCAAAATTCTGGGTGAATGACATAATAGAAAGATAGCTTAAAAGGGATGCTGAATAACACATGTAACTGTAATGGGATGTAGAACTGGAGGGAAGAGAGTTGCCAAGTGTGAAAGGAGACTTTAGGAAAACAAAGAGAATGAGGGTGGGAGGGACTCCACGGGAGAGACTGGCATTCTGCTGGCACATCTCTGCTCAGACAGCAGGCTGGATCATCTGTGCTCAGCGCCCAATTGAGCTGGGAGGGCAGGGGAGAGCGAGGCAAAAGACACAGTAGAAGAGTAGCTTGTAATGCGCCCACTTGGCATCACAAAGATGGGTACATTTCCTCAGGGTTAAGACAGTACAGTGCAAAGAAAGGTGAAATTGAGAAATGATGCCATCAAATCACCAAGGAAGGTTGCCTGATGGTCACGGGGACCCTGGAATAAAGAAGCTGTAAGGTCTCCCACTAACTGGGCGCCCACATCAATTTCCTATGCAGGTAAGATGTTAGACCACCCCCACCCCTACCCCCATCATTAAATAACTATAAAAATTACAGGAGAAGAAAGTGTTTGGGCAACCCCCTTACTGCCAATCCATTTTGGTCATGGATGCAGCGGCAACCAAACACTATATGGAGGAAGATAAGAAAGAACTGTGCATTTTGTATTTCCCTCTTCCACTCCAAAAGAATACAGACTCTGTACCCTGATAAGCAAGGACCCATAGTTTCAATTTACAGTGCCACTGGGTTCTGCAGTAATCTATTGCTGTGTAACAACAAATGGCTCCAGAATGTAGCTGCTTGAAATAATTACACATGTTGCATTTCTTATCATTTTGTGGGTAAGAATGTGGGCAGGATTTGGCTAGTTGTGTATTCATTCACATGGTATTGACAGAGGCCTGTTGTTCAGCTAGCAAGGTACCTGGACTAGACGTTCTGAGTTTCACTCACGTATCTAAAACACTGGCAGCTTATACTTGGAAGGCTAGGCTGACCTGCAGTGGTTGACTCGGCCACCAACATGTGACCTCTCTAGTATGGTAGCCTCAGGGTAGTCAGTCTTTTTACGGGACACGCCACTGTTCCAATGCAAATGGTACAAGATACATTTACATTTATATGAAGCTTACCTTTAGTAATCAGAATAACCTAAACGTAAAACCATTAGCTAAAGATTTCATTAAGGTCTGGGAATAGGCGTCTGACTAATCATGTTTGGAAACAGTTGTTGAAGATAAACACAACTGTTTCTTATTTACTCCCCACCGAGATGAGATTGATCAAAACCCCCTGAAACAGAAACATTCGCAGTTAGCTGTTCTCCCACATGAGAGGTGAAATTAGCTGCCCACATATTTCTACCAGAGGCACACAGTGAAATAAGAAGAAAACAAAGTGAAAAACACTCAGAAGGGATTTTGGCAAATCTTCTGAGAGACCACATGCAGAAAGACTGCACAGGTACAGTTTTGTTAGGGACCACTCTGCTGGTAGCCAGACATCACCATCACCACCTAATCTGTTACGTTAGGGAGCTGTCCTGATGTCCTTGATTGTCCAGCCAAACAGATAAGACCTGTAGTCACTCTGCTGAGAGGACTGTCTCCTGGACCAGGCAAAAATCAGCACAAGGAACCATTCTTAACTGTCCTGTAGATCCTGAGTGACTCCTTGAAGAAGTGTCCTTAAAAATCCTATATATTCCACAGTGACATTCATTTAAAAATCACATTCTAATGAAACTAGAGAGAAGAGGGATAATTTTTTAAATGCCATCTTCGATTTCAGAGAATATTTCAGAACAGATGATTTGATGTTATAATTATTTCCTCATCTCTGGCCAGTGAAGCTCCCAGTAACATATGGGGGCCCGATTCGAAAGAGGGTTGGAACTCCTGTGGATCTCTGAGGGTACCGTGTGACAACGGATGAGGTCACACAATGCAATGCAGTACTTAGATATGCGTGCAGTCCTGCAAACAGGGACTGGCGGCTGTCACCATTTCCCTGGACTTATGCTATGAACAAGAGGAACAGGTTCCTGAGTTTCCCCAGGAGACCACTCAGCTGTCAGTCCAACAATGACAAGCACTTCAGCAGGGACTCATTTAAGTGTGTTAACTCCAAAAGCTGCAGTATCACATTGATTCCATCCATGCCATACTTACTAACTTTACGTGCAATTATGGAGAAATTATACTGCGCAGTGATTTCTCTGTCTAGCAATTCATTAGTGGCGACGGTTCCTTCAGTTCCATCTATTGTAAAGTAGCTGTCCCCATCGCTCTTCCAATCTATGAAGTACCTGTATATGAAAAGAGTAGATGCAAATGTGCAATGATTACGCATTAATCATAATGGCAGTCAGGCTTACTCGACACAGTTCCTTTTCTTTTCTCCCTGTAGCTATTACCTATCTTGCAATAAAGAAGAGTGTAAATGACAGCTTCTTTATTGCAAAGTCAGTAGGCTCAAGGGGAAACTAGAAATAATGAAAGATTTAGTACCCCTGCTGTTCATATTATTTTAGGGTCCTGACACCTTGAAAGCTCAGCAGAGACTGAAACTCTGAAGCTGACCATGGGTTTCCTTAACCTGCTGAATATTAAAACTTTTTTCAGGCAGTAAAAAAATACATTAATGGTGACTTTGGGAGGAGATGAGGGTGAGGGAGGCATTTGGAAACATCTACAAAGGAATTAGGCCAGAGCAGAAGTAGAATCTTTGTTTTCACAGATAGAAAAATAAATTGCATTATGGAAGCGGAGGGAATATTTTTTAACTGACAATGGGTTATTGCACAAAAATATTTTCCTCAAATATGTGTGAAAGGGCCATTGTTGTTTTATTGCTTTCTATATCCAGACACCTTTCTAAAAACCGGTGACCTTGGCTAATACTGTCTTCTTATCTTCTTTATTAACTAACCTTCTTGGTGATAACCGATTTTGCTTTGTGTGTGTGTGTAAAGCAGCTGGACTAAAAACTCTAAGACACCGAATAAAAACACAGAAATTGATTTTATATAAATCTTTAGGTAACAATAGAAATATAGTGCTATATATGCTTATAATTATTTTCGAACATCTTTTGATGATAATAATAAGAGATAATTTAAAATCTTACCATGTGTTAGACATTTCTAAATGTTTACACATATTTACTTAATATGTAAATATACGCATGTAGATTTACAAAGCCCCCAAATGGGTATTATTAACCTTCCCATTTTATATATGATGAGATGAAGCACAGACACATTAAGAAATTTGTTCAAATTCACATAACTAGAAAGTTTTAGAGCTGATATATTTTAAAAGATTTTATTTATTTATTAGTAGAGAGAAGGGAAGGGAAGGAGAAAGAGAGGAAGAGAAATATCAATGTGTGGTTGATTCTCATTATGTCCCTTACTGGGGATCTTGCCTGCAATGCAGGCATGTGCCCTGACCGGGAATTGAACTGGTGACCCTTTGGTTCCAAGCCCATGCTCAATCCACTGAGCTACACCAGCCAGAGCTAGAGCTGATATTTAAACCAGCTCTTCAATCGTACTTATAATTATTATCATATACTATTACCAACTTTAAATAAACATTTTTACATGAAAGGGCTCTGCTAACCTAAGGCTCGATGCACCATATACTTATCATAATTACTGTGTCTGGCTGCATCAAGGCAAGGCCATTACAAACAGGGGCTGAAGGCAGATGTAACCATCATAGTCAATCCATAAACCCTCAGGCAGAGAAAGGGATCTGTATGTTCATCATGGGAAGTTAGTTAAGGTATGCATTTGAAAAAGGCAAGGTACTTTTTTTTTTGACAGACTGGTTATTTGAAAGTAGTTGCATAACATTTGGGGGCCAAATCAAAACTACTTTGTCTTTATAGATAAGATTTATAACTCTTAACTTGTCAATATTTGTTAGTAACTGATTTCTGAACCAGAAGTTTGCTGAGTATTATATAATCAGGGTATTACTAATGCTGTTAATCTACCTTTGATAAGACTCTTGTTGATTTGAGGGGTGAGAGTGCATTGACGTCTTCTGATTTCAGTGTTGTACCCCATCTCATAGTCTCATAGGAAGGTTCTCAAAAATCCTCAATGAAGTTAAGGCACATGTGAAAGTCAGGAGTATGGGGTATAATGAGTTTAACTCTATTACATAATCCCCTTTTCTAAAAAAAGAAAGTGTTTTTTTCCTAGCGTCTGCATCTTTAGTCAATTGGACTCATGCCTAAATTAAGAAGGAAATCGCTACTGAATCTCTTTAGTGACTATAACATATCTCGGAGAATATTGGTATAGATTTCATTCAGTTCTATAATGTCCACAATGCTCTAGACACTATACAGGGCTGAGACATATAAAAATCAATAAAGTACAATCCCACCAATGAAGAGTCTTGTTGGGCAAGCACATATCAACAGAAGACTTCAACACCTGCTGGAGGAATGAAGAAGGCATTACAGAGTGCAAAGAAAAAACACTTATTTCACACCTATTGGTCCAGACAAACCTTCCTGCTCATGATGTTTGGCTGGTTGTAGAAGACTATGAAGTAATTATGGAAGAACAGAGTGAGGAAGACAGATGGAGCAGAAGAAGAGAGATATTTCAGGAAGCCACAACAATAGTAGTAAAGCTATAGAGTTTGTGTAGGAAACTGAGTATAAGTATTTGGGAATTATGGAAAAATATCTAAGATACAATAGCATGAAAAAAGATAAGTGATTGAGGTCAAGGAGTGAGTGCCTCATAAATTATATGAAGGTCGTAGAACATGATCCTGTGAGCATTGAACACAATTGAAGGGTATAAATAGGGAATGGGCTAAATGTTCATAATATTTTCAGGCATATGGTAGGTATATTTAAAGGGGACCAGACTGTAGACATTTTCTGTATATTAGAATCTTGCCAAGAGACAAGGAAAGCAACCAAGATTATAAAAAGACTTGATTCAAATAGTTATGAGAAGTGCTTGAAATAACCAGGACTATGCAGGCTGAAGGAAGGAGACAGAAGAACATGCGAGCTGCCTTTGATTTGATAATGATGCTCAGTGAAGCGGGTGCTATGTCAGGAGAATGAAATCTAAAAAATATTATTTCAAGTAAATATAACAAAGACATATTAGAGCTGCCCAAGAGTATAACGAATATCCTCAGGGAGCAGTAAGTACCAGGAGTAATCAAATACTGACTGTCCAAATGCTTGGTGCAGATGCGGTAGAACAAATTTAATACAGTTGGAGATTCTGAAGGTACTTTACAATGCTGAGGTGCTATTGCTATTGTCTAGATAAAATGGAGACTATTTCTCTTCCTTTGCATGGGATGCAGTGTTTTCCAATCATTGTTTCCGTCCAGCACTCTTGTTCTGACTTGTACAAACATACTCTACAACAAGAACTCCAATAAATTCTCACTTTTCAAACACACAATTATCTTTTCATTGCATTTAAAAAATAATCGCTATGTTCACATCTCTATAATTCCTTCATTCAACCTGAGTAATTCAATAATTTTAGCATATTTACAGAGTTGTTTTTTAATTAAATTTATTAGTTCAGAGATTTTTCATTTTACAGGGTGAGCTCCAATTATTTAAAATTCCACTTGTATAAGATAAAAATTGTAATTGGCGGGGTGTTAAGTTCTTATAACTTTCCTTGGCTTACTTTCTTTTGCAAGAAGTATTTCCAGTATGATATTAATTTTTAATGTTCTTACTACATTTTTGAAGTTTCTGTTAGTGTCTGCTCTTGGTTTTACCATATAAAGCTGAACTTATATTCTAATTCATACTAGTTTAAGTCTCATAAAACAGAGAAATGCTATTTTTATGCAGTTATGTTTTATTAAATACATATGTACACATGTTTGCATATATTTTATCTATATCTATATATTAAGAAGCCCAATAAACATTGTTATAATGATTACCTTTGATGATCTTACACCTACTGAAGCTAAAAAAGTAAAACAAATATCTCAGAAGAGCTTTTGAATTCTCTATTCTTCTGTACTTTCTCTAACCCCGGTGAATTCTCTGAGGCACTGCTGGGCACTGAGTGAAGGCAGAGAGCGGTCTTCTCATTTTGGCTCCCCAGGAACTTGCAAAATAACACAAAGAGCTGGGCCCATATTACCTGCCTGCCAAGTATAGAGCCGATGCTATAGGAGTGGGGGGGGTAAGCTGCCCACATCTGAAACTCAGAGGAGGAGAGCATGAGCAACGTTAGCATCCTGCCCGTCCTCGGAAGATGTTATACACCTCTTCACTGGAAGCTGAGGTGAGAGGAGGCATGTTCTCTCAACCACACCTGCCTAGGATGGGTTTCCTGTCAAACTGAGTTGGGAGGTGGGAGTGGGAGGGAGGGATCAAGTCTGGTGTTACAGTCTCTTGACATTGTTAAAGTGTTTTAGCAGATTTTCATCAGGAAATTTTTCTTCATTTGCTATTTGTTTTCAGGAAAATTTCCAGGGGCAGTAAATAGTTGGTTTTTAATTTTTTAAATATTTTAAAAAATAATTTTCACCGCTTACTCATGTTTCACTGGGGAGTATCTGCAAAACAATAGCCCTGGTCCTTGACAAAACAGAGGTGAATAAATCTTAGCCTCAAGAAATTTAAAGGGTTTTGGGTAGAAAAGACAATCATGTGCACAGATAGTATGTAAACTGTGTAACATTTACCAAAAGCTACCTCAAAATTGCTGCGACTCAAGTACTATATAAAGTTCAATGCACAGATTCTATTTCCTCTACCTATGTAATAGCTAAATAATTCTGCTTGAAAGCAACATATTCAGGGCTTTAAGAATGTTTAAGTTAAGACAGTCATCTCTTTCTGGTTTGTGAGGATGTTCTCAGTTTTAGAACTGAAAATCCTGAGGAGCAGAAAACTCCTCCATCCAAGACAAAATTGGGACAATTAAATGTCTTACTTCTAGCTAATTATAACTTACAGAAATGTTATAATTTACAAGACTGACTCAAAAAGAAGTCTACTTTTGTACAATGAATCAATGTACACACAGGTCATTTTTAATGTAAATTTGTTTTGGGGATAACATTTAAGTATTCTAAACTTTATACATACAATAACATGTCTATATTTTCTTTCTTTCTTTAATTTTCTTTTTAAATATATTTTATTAATTATGCCATTACAGTTGTTCAATTTCCCCCTTCATTCCCCTCCACCCTGCACACCCCTCCCCCACCATTCCCCCCTTTAGTTTATGACCACGTGTCTCAAGTTCTTTAGATTCTATATTTCCCATACTATTCT